ACCAGAAACTGAAACTAAAATCAATGCTAATTAATTGACACTGTATCAGACTAGATGGACCAATGGTCTGATTCAGTATAAGGCTGTTTCCTACTTATTTCATATTTTGTATTTGTTTCTGGCCATTTTTTTGATGTCTTCATACTGTAGGAATGGAAAACGATTGACCAGCAAGCCTAATCTGACCCATGAATGTTCTGCATCTGGGGTTCCACCAGTATGTCCTCTAGGTGCTACCTCCAAGAGGAATCATTCCTGCTCTTTCTGATTTCACGTCAGAGGTCACAGGGGGTTTCTAGCAGCTTAGGACTTGGCCTGCATTGGGACATTCAACTGTGCCTCACAGCACTGGTTGAGTCCTTTTGCATGGTGTGTGCTACCCAAAGCCAGGGACTTGGTTAGTGCTGAGAGGGTGCCAGCTGAATTTCTTTCCCATGGAGAGAGAAGCACAGAACTCAGCCTTCCCAGCATGGAAAAAGGCTAAAATGATTGAAGATAGGGCAAGGAAGTGAGTGGGCATTGCTACACCCATTGACTAATCTGGCCCATGAAGGTTCTGGTCAGAAGTGATCCGGCCCTTACCCAAAATGATTCTGCAAACCCCTTCTGTCAGGTGCCTCTGGAAAGACAACAAATAGGTCAATAGTTGAACTCCCTCTGTTGTTTTCTAGTGGTCCTTCTGCCAAGGGCCACATATAGCCATAGACGAGTAGTCAGTGATAGCCCTATCCTCCATGCATTTGTGTAATCCCCTTTTTAATCTCACCATCTGTGAGAACAAATTCCACACTATGTTGAACTATACACTTTCTTTTAACTGTCCTGAATCTCCCACCATTAAATGGAAGCCAATATTGTGTGGTGGTTGGAGTGCTGGACTGGAAACCTGGGTGATCTGAGGTCCAGTTCCCACTTGGTCATAAAGTTCACCAGGTGATTTTGGGATAGTAACTCACTCTCAGCCTAATGTATCTCACAAAGTTGTTGTGAAGATAATATGTAACTATGTAAGCTGTCTTGGGTTCCTCACAAGAGGAAAAAGATGAGATATCAATGCAATGTGGTGGTGGCAGTGGTGGTCTCTCATTGGAGTGCACTGGGTTGTAATACTATGGGAGAGGGAGAAAAAACTTTACCTGGAAGCAAGAATGACAAAACTGAAGCTATATTTTGGGTACATCGTGAGAAGGCAATACTCACTGGAGAGACAATAATGCTAGAGAAAGTCCCAGGCAGAAGAAGGAAGTCCCAGGCATATGAGATAGATTGACCCCATAAAGGAAACTGTGCAATATTGAATTTCCAAGAACTGAGCAGGGCTATGAAGGACAGGACATTCTGGACAGCATTTATTCATCAGGTCACCACAAGTCAGAGATGACTTGACAGCACATAACAACAGCATCATCTACATTTTCACAGCATGCATAATTCTGTGCACCTCTATTTTCATACCCTCCTTATCTTTTTTTGTAAACTGAAAAGTCCAACATGGAACCTCACATGTAATAGGTGAGTTGCTCCAGCCTTCTGATGGTTTTTGCTATCCTATTCTGCACAGCTCTACCATCTCTCTTTTGAGATATGGCAACTAGAACCATACCTAATAGCATCACACCATGAATTTATATTAAATCATTATGATAATGGCAGTTTACTTCTGCACACTGGGTCGCCATTTTACTTACACTGTCCAGCAGGACCCCAAAGTATTGCCTGCTCAGTTCCTACCAACTCAGATCCACCCCCAAACAAAACTGCTTAAAGATACCCTCTGGCCACATATATCATTTAATCATCAAATAACCAGGCTTTGTCCAGGATTAACTCAAGGTAACCCTGATCCATGTTGCAACTGTCACTACATTTACAGCAAAGGTGTTCTGGGGTAATATGTTAGATTTCTTTCCCATGTGTCTACAAAAACAGACAGTTGAGTTCCCATTGATACAATGAGTGGGAAATACCCTGGTGAGCTATTCTACATTTTTCTGCTGCCTGTATGCTAGTGCTTTAACTGGGTTGTCCCTAGTATTCCTTTATGCTGAAAAGTGCCTAGAGCAGTGTACCATGAGTTGTTCTTCCCCTTTCTCTGTGTAACATGTGGTTTGGGTTTGTTTATTTGTCTGCGGACATTGCATGAGCATGTAACAGCACTGCCATTGTGCAGAATGCAAGCAAAGGCTGGTTCACTGTGGTTGGTACTGTTCTATTATTCTGGTTGGGAGACTTACTGATGGAAGGAAGAGGCTTGCTGATGTGTATTAAATCATATGGAAAATAGGACAAGCTCATTCTAGCCCAGGAGTGTGTAGGAAGAATATCTCTTATTGGCTAGGGGCCACACTGCCAATTTAAATTAGCTATCCAGCCATACTTCAGAACACAGATATAAAGACACATAACCTTGTGAGCACCCCTTCAGTCAAACACATTCAAATGTATATTCTTATTCCTACAGAGAAGCCTGCCCTTTTTTGTTTATTTTTTCTGTAGACATACATGCACACACACCCAAATTTCCATGAGCGTTAATTTGATGGCTAACTGCGTAAGCAGTTTGCAAGAAAAACATTTCTTGGAATGAAGAAGGGACATTCCCCCTTTTATTTATTAACGACATTTATATGCCACCTTTTCATGGCAAGCCCTCCCAACAATTCTACCATATTTACTGTGCTGTTTTCACTTTCTCCCTGTACCCCATTTTTAGGTCCTTCCTGTTTGCCTTGGAGACTCCATGCCTGGCTGGCTGCTCAAAGATCAAGCTAGGGCTTATTTAGAAGTACTCATCCAAATGCATAGAAGCAAGAGAGGTTGTTGTTAGAGACCCACTGAAAGTTGGAATACTCCTTTTAAAACACTTGATGCACATGGATCACAAGTTAGAGATATACTTGTAGATCTTTTACTATTTTCTCCTGCTCCTTGCCAAGAACCCAAAGGGGTATACATGGTTCACTACTTTCTTTTTAGATGCAGAGATGGGAAACATGGTCAATCCATAAGCAAGCTTCCAGCTTTGATTCCTTTCTAGAAGTATGAAGAGCTGTGGGCCTGTAGGTGGGCTGACAGTAGTTATTAAGATTAAATTCATGCAAAATGACAGTCAGAAACAGCACACCGTAAGTGTTGGAAGGACAAAGCTTTAGAAGAGAAAATAATAACAAAGCACATTAAGGTTCAACAGTGATGACAAGAAGTTTATACAATCATTGGAGTGTTGGAAGGTGCCTATAAAGCCATTGAGCAACCTCCTGCTCAGTGCCAAACTCCAAGTTAAATCATCCCTGACAAAGGACTGTCCAACTGCCTCTTGAATGCCTCTGATGTGGGACAGCCTATGACCTCCCTAGGTAATTGATTCCATTTCCTTACTGCTCTGTCAGGAAGTTTTCCTGATGTCCTGCTAGAATCTGTCTTCCTGTACATTGAACGCATTATTCCATCTCCTGCGCTCTGGAATGATTGAGAAGAGATCCTGGCCCTCCTCTGTGTGACAGCCTTTTAAATACTTGAAAAGTGCTATCATAGCTCCCCTCCAGGCTAAACATGCCCAGTTCTTTCAGTTTCTCATCATAAAGCTTGGTTTCCAGCCCCCTTATTTGATTAAGCTTAGTCCTGTTTATTGAGAGCAGGGAAGATGAAATTAATGGCAGTATTTTCTATAGCCCATTTTACATGAAAATTAATAATTACTGTATCTCTGCTTGTACTAAATTGATTAGTATTTGCTAACTCGTTATTGGGAATATTCCATCTGACTGATAAGGAGGACAACAAGTTCATATGAGATCCTGTTTAGTCTCTCTAAGCTCTATGCATATCTCATCAGTCAAGCCTAGAACACTTCACATAGAAAACAATGTGATTTAAAACAGTGTTTCTCAATCCCTAGAGATGGTTCACATTAAAGATGATGCAATTCATGCTGCAAATTATGTGGTTTACTCGAGATTATTTCCTAACTTCATTTGATTGATTTCCTCACATGTATTAGCTGGCCCATCTATACTGGCCCAAACTATTGTCTCTAACCATGAAATTCTTATTTAGGGTTAGAAGACATGCTGCTTAATTGTCATTGAGTGTTGCTGAGGAGCAGCAATAGCAGCAGCAAGCAAAATGCATTATTTCAGCCTTAAAGCAAGTTTTGTTCTGCACCTAAAATAACGTAATATGTTTGTGCCACTCACAGGAAACAGCTTAGAAGCCACTACGGGTCTCAAGCCTTTTAAATAGTGCTAGGAATATTTCAGTTATATATAAAACTGACTGCTTTACGCTTGAATTTGTCTTGTGTTCCTTTCCCAATTACACCTGACCCATGGCAGATAAAGGCTTTCCCCTGTTAGACTGTGTGTGCTGAGATATTTTGACAGCTCTGTCGTCTTTTTCTGTTTGGTCAAACCCTCCCCAACCTAGCTTGCTTATGTCTTGTTTGTAGAGCAGCTTCTCCTGGCTTCCCAGCATACACAAGGGGATTCACAGTGGGTAGCCTTCTTTGAAGCTGAAACCAGAGGCTGAGGTCAGTGTCAGCTCCCTGTCTCTGTGCGCTGGCTGGAGTGTAGAGCAGCCAGGATTACAGCACAACAGAGAAACAAAAGCCTTTTGGATGTCTGCTGCCCCCAAGAAAAACAGTCCTGACCTTTCTTCAGCCTCTGACAGCCATGCTGTTAAAAGTTGCTTTGTTGACTCTTCCCACTGGGTGATAGAGCTGCTTGTCTGTATGCAATTAAGCAAGATGCAGAGGCACTGCTGAGCAAGAATCTTGTAAACATGCTGGGTATCCAAATTTTAGCGATGCAAGGAATATAAATGGATGCATTATTTTTTGGCATGGTTGTGAAATAAGAAGTGTGTAAAAATCATGGTGAATTTCAACAATAGAAAATATCTGATTGGATATCTAATTATATGGACTGTCCCAACTAGTTGCAGAACAACTGAATTAAGCCTATGTTTTTTGTTTTGCTTTATTTTGTTTTGTTTTTTTCCAGGCTCTGTTTGCTAACTTCCCAACATCCAGCATCAGCTCTATGGCCCTGTCATCTGGTTCCAGTGCCCGCAAAACATCAAGTACCATTTGCAGCAACCAGAAGGCACTTAGCCTGCACAAGGTGATGCCATCCCAGAGTGCATCTTCACACTTGGTTCCTAAGCCCCCAGCCAGCCACAAACAGTCAGTTATCAGGAAGGTAGCATCTCAGAGGATTTCCAAGTAAGTCTCTATTCCTCAAACAGAACTTGCTGTTGAATAATATTGGCAGAGAAACACAAGTATCAAACACCTGACTTGTTCTTGAGGAAATGGAGACATCCATGCTACACAGTGTGACTTTATTAAGAGAAATATAATGAGGTAAACTATTTGAACCAATCTAGATACATGAACAACCATACAGATTTAAAGCAAATGCCCACCCTGTTTATTTGGCCTGCATTACACATTGTTTTTTCTGCCAATGTTTCTTAAAATTGAATTTCTAGTATGTGTGTTTTGGACAAAGAAGATTCTGCATCATTTGAACATTATGACGTCCATGATTGAACTAATCCATCTCTGTGTTGGGGAAAAAAACATGATGCACCCTTTATATCAGACAAATTTGGGTGCACAGAGACATTAAAAAGCAAACTATAGCAACATATGTTTTATGAAAATGTATTATTACCTCCACATAAATGAGGTCTTATTTCCTGGAGCATAACACACATACTTGATAGCAGTTGCATCCTAAAAGAAAAGCATAGCTGCTTATGTTTTCAATGTGAGAACAATTTTCCCTGTTTTCCATCACAATATATTGATAATAATTTGTCATATTTCTGTTTTTATGGAAGTAATTAAGTTACAGTCTGACTTATCTTCCTTTGAACATTTGTTATTTTGTGGCTTTCTATCAATGCCTCCTCTTGCTTGTCTGTTTCCTAGACTAAACAGTCTCAAACTCCTCAGTCTCTACTCATGTGGAAGCCTCTCTAGGCTCCTCATAAATTGTTTCATCCATCTTTGGAGATGTTGAGTTGCATTATAAATCTTCATTGTTCTGCACCATTTTGGTCTTCCAAATTTGACTCTTCCCAGGTTTTTACTGCCTCTTTTTGTCTTTAAGATTAAGCATGTTTAGAGTAATTATTTCTGAAGCATTTCTTGGTGGTGTTGGGCAGCAACAGATTTGCATTTCATTGGCAAGTGAAGTGGGGGGTTCAATAGAGATTCACAGAAGTATTGAGAGGGCAGTGTTTGGCCCTGGTTTACCAAGAAAACCTACCAAACATTTACATGTACTAAGATTTTGGAGAGGAAAGAGAGAAAAAGTCAGAGGAATATTCATCACACTTGCTGCTGTTCCAAGTAGATCACCTACCAATGTCCTGTGACATTTTAAAATAATTTAAAAATGTGCCATTCATTTTGTTTCCCCTAATCTTTAGGCCTAGGTTGTCTGTAGGTCAGGTGAAATCCATGTCATTGCAGTAATGACCAGAGTATGAGGCATCAGTATGTACCATCATGTGATACAGGTTGTCTCATAGTCCTTATGCAATATAACCCTGTGCTACAAGTTCAGTGTTAAATATCAGGTCCATATGTTTGCACCAGTATGGCAGTTTTGTGGTTCCCAACATGTATTAAGGATGTTGCATAGGTAATTTGTTTACAATGCATCTGTAGGTGCTGCACCTCCACAGCGCATTTGGAACTTTTTCAGAGCTCAGGCCTATGGATGTTTGGTACAGCGGTACCTTGACTCACGAACTTAATCTGTTCCATGACTTTGGTTGTGACCCAAATTGGTCGTGCGCCAAATCAAATTTCCCCATAAAATTCAATGTACATAAGGTTAATCTGTTGAATTTTTTTTTTTTAAATCACAGGGAAGACGGGAACAATTGCAGGCGTGCTTGGGGGGTGGAGACAGGCATGAATGTGGGTGCACTCTGGGGGAGACAGGTGCAATTGTGGGTGTGCTTGGGGGGAGATGGGTGTGTAGAAGAAGGGAAGGGAAGGGAAGATGGGCCCAATCACCATCTTCACCTGATGCAGAGTTCGCAACCTAAGGAAATTTTGCAACCTGATTTGGTCGTGAAGTGAGGCTTTCGTGAGCCGAGGTACTACTGTATTAAGACATGCCTCCTGTAGCCAGGCATGTCTTCCCATTTCAAGCTTGTGTGTGTTTCTGCATGGCTTTTCTTCATGACAGGTTCCTATGATATAGTGACTGCTATAAATGTAGTAGATGCTGGGGAGAAGCTTCCAAACACCAGCAAGCATAACTATTGATTCTTCTAACAGAACAGTATGGTTTAAGGCTGAGAGTGCATTTATTGCCAAATATTCCTCAGTCCCTGTTTGCTAGTATATTGTGCCCTTGAACTGGGTCGCAGGACTGAAGCAGGGACATATCACTGTCCTTGAATTTCAGAATGTCTTCTTGGCTTTGTGAGATTTTCATTCTCTCATATCTGGAAAGATTGTCAAGATTGCTGTGGAGAATATTACCACACATAGGCGAGTATGGAGACTTGCTTTCTTTTGTATCTGGCCAACAGATTCTGAAATTGGTGATTATAAAGGATACTGTATTCGTGACAGGAGATGCCTTGAACAGAACCAGAAGTTCACCCTGTGAACAGTCACTGAAGGACAATTGTCCTTTATTTTCTGAATGTGTGGATCCTTACCACTAGACCTGTTTGCCATGACTCAGAATGTGAAATGCAAGCATTTCAGCAGGAGTATTGATCAAGACCTTTAATCTCTGGCAATTCTTTCCTGCTTTTGTGCATCTATAGCTTTTTTTACCTGCATTCCTCCTCACTACCAATTCCTGGGGTGTGCCATATGATTTTTCCTGTCAGGACAAACTATATGCTGATAGTTCCCTGTTGGCTTTGGCAGTTGTACACCATACTCCTTCACACTGCCAATAGGAAACCTTGCCTACAAGGATATGCTACAAGTCCAAGTGGAAGTGTTCTCAACCTATTGTAGATGTTAAGCACTGAATTCTGTCTCTGCTTTGGTATGTTATGTCCTTTAGTGTTTGTTATCTCTTCATGGAAGAAGGCAAATTGTTTGCCTGCAACTGAAGTTCTCTGGGGGGCCATCTGTGTAGTCCTAGAACCTCCCCCCCTCCCCCCGTAGGTCTCCTTTTCTTACTTTCTAGCCACTGTGGCAATCTTCCATGGACTGAGTGGGAAGGCAAGGGCTCCAGATCTTGGATGTATCCTTCTGATGAAAATCCATAGGTTTAAACTTCAGAAGGTTCAAGGCAATACTTTGTGTAGGTGAAGACCCCATTCTTCTTGATCTCTCTGTTAGCATACCCATATTGTAGACAAGAGAGCCAGTGTGGTATAGTGGTTAAAAGCACTGGACTGGGACTCGGGGTATCCTGGTTCTAGTTCTCGCTCAGGCTTGAATCCCAGTGGGTGACTGGGCCTGTCACTGCCTCTCAGCCTAACATACTGCACAGAGTTGTTGTGAGGACAGAATGGAAACGAGGAGGACCTTGCATTCTTTGCTAGAAGAAATAAGGCAAGATATAAATTTAATGTAATGATGGTGATGATGATGAGACGATGTCCTTACTAATGCTGAATCACCTTGATTAATTCACACAAGGTGTACTCCTATAGAGTTTAACGGTGACTAAGCAGCCTTGAAACAATGGGACTTACTTTCATGTGAATATATACATGATTGTACTGTCAATGTTTGCACTTGCAAAGGTTGTATAGCATCGCAGATTGGGATGAAATGTCATTGCTCTATATTTGGTGGTTCACTGATTCTTTAAGAACAGATTGGTGACCCCTTGTATTCTGTTATGCAAACTTGCCTTGATGCAAGTCTATTAATCAAGTATCATAAGATTCATCATCCCAAAACATTTTGCAGAAGAATTAAACTGTTAATTGAATTGTTTAGCCCAGTAAGTACAGATGGGAGTACCAGCCATAGTGGTCCTATGGTGATAATATTTGTGTCTGATTCTCCCTGTCCTGGGGGTACATGTTAGTTCAGGTGTCAAGCCTTTTCAGTGATTTCTTCTGCTGAGCAGCAGAAAGTGTATTTGAAGATGCCGGTGTACTGTAATCACATATTGGCAGGGAGAATGTTTATCCTTGTGAGATGGAATTGCAGCTCCTTGGGCAGACTTTACTTAACTGCGTTCTTGTGGTTTCTGCTCTGTGACAGGCAGGAGTGTGGGAAAACCGGAAAAAGCTCAGCATCAAAAATGCACAGAAGGGGGAAAAAAGCAAAAGAATCCTTCACAGTTCCAGAACATAGTCCAGTTATCGAAGGCTGCAAGGAGCCATTCCGGAAATACTTGCTTAGTTGCTGTTCAGACACTAGCACAAGACTCCAAATCTATTCTTGCCATTTGGGGGATTGTATACTAACTTTTGTCAATTTCATGGAAACAGGAACTCCCAATATATTCTAGAACAACCAGATTCACCAAATTCAAACCTCTCTCAGCAGTCTTTTGTCTTCTCTGCTGTCCAGTGTGTACTTCTCATAGAATCAAAGGAAGAACAGTCCACCACCACACACACTCCCTTGTGTATAAGTGACAACCATTTCTTAAGTTCTTCAAGCCCTTACTTTCTATTCTTCAATCATTTGCTACAGACCATTTGTTCTTCGTTGGCATTTCCAGCCTGCTTTAGAACTCCACTGCTACGATTTCCATCACATCTCATGAAAGAAAAAGCTAAATTGTATAAGATTGCACCCTAAAAATCTGTTCAAACTCAAGTTTGGTGAGCACAAGAGCACAAGAAATCCAGAACAGGCTGCCTAGATCATTTGTGGGATTTTGAAGGTTCTCAAGGATAGTTTGAGGCTAGTCTACATGACTTATTTGATCTGTTCATATATTGTTGATTTGTATTCTTGGGAGCAAATTGCACTGTCTTGAATCTTGTATTAGTAGTTCATAGAGCAATTCTATGCATTTTTAATCAGAAGAAAGTCCTGCTGTGTTCAGTGGGGCTTCCTCCCATGTATATATTCAAAGATCTTGAACATTTATTTTAGATTTTTGTTCATCTCAAAACTGTTTTCTTTTCTTCTGCCTTTTGCCATTTCACCATAGCTTAATTTATCCATCTCAACACATTTATTGAATCAATTTTTAAAGATTTCTGGATAGTTTTGCTTTGAGAAGGAATCTGTGAAGAAAACCTGGAATCAATGTAGCCTCT